TTTATAGTTATCAGTGGTCGCAAGGATGGAGTTGATCTTGTTTTGATCTATCGCTATGTAGTTATTTTCGTAGCACGATTTGGATAAGAAAAAGAAGTTATTTTGCGTCAAAACAAAGTTTAGCCGTGTAACTTAAATTGGAATGTTAACGGAAGCAAGTAACGGAGAACATGCGCATAATGCTCTCTGATTAACCTGAACAGGAACTATATGTATAAAGATACGTCATATCTTGGTAGTACGTTGCCACAGGTAACTTTTTCAAAGAGAAATAAACATTGTAGTTTTAGGTTAATGGAACAAAACAAAACAAAACATCCGCTTGCTTTATCCAGGGTTACAAAGTTCGATAAAGTTCCAATGTTGAATCCAAGATGAAAGTTTAATATTCCAAGATGCTCTTGATACGGTTAAAAAATAATTGCAATGTGTTTCCAAGGTCTCAAAGTTAACACAGTTCCAATGATTATCCCTGATTCCAAGGTATAGTAAGTTTACAAAATTCCTGATCCGTGTCCCATCCAGAAGTCCAATCCATGCCAAAAGCGAGTCGTCGATCGACGAGGACCATATTTTCGTGACTACACCGTCAATCGTCAAGAGTAGGGGTTGAAATTTACGCGATTTAACCTCCCATCGTCAAGGTGTTTTCGATAAAAAAAAGAAAAAACTGAACTCTAGCTGTGCTCGGCAAAAACTGGCGAACTCCGAATAAAAAAATCTATCGGAAATAACGGCCCACAACCAGACGCTACTAGACCTTATGAAAAAGCTAGACCTAAACAAAAAAGAATCATGAAGAGAAGAAATAATTTGGCTTAGGTCGCCTTTCGTGACTTGTCAGTATCCCGAAGGATTTCGCTGGTTAACAAGCCATCCTAAACCACGAGTGGGAAAACTCAAGGGCGACAAATTTGGCAAGGAACGTTCTGATTTCAACGTTCTTCAGAGGAAGAAAATCGATTAAAAATCGATACAGATTTTGTACAATCTGATTGGTCGGCTTGGAAGAAGAGATAATCGATAAAGATTTTAGGCAATCCTATTGGTTGGCTTTGCAATTTTGGGTACAACCGAGCCGGATTTTTACCGTGGGAGTGCCACAGGCATCCCACGGAATTATGGACACATAATGAACTCGTTTGGACCACTCACTTGTGAATATTAATCAACATTCGAGAAGTACGAGCAGAATTATTGATAGTTTTCAACCACGTAACAAGGTGATCGATCGTCGCTTTTACTTTGACCGTAAAAAAGAGTCACAATACACCTTGTTTACTCCCCTCCCTCCCCCTACCCAAATTTTTCTTAACCATTGTTTTCAGCTTCTCCTCGGTATTGCAGTCGCCCTAAGAGAAATTGAACACACTTGATACTCATACAAATTTTTGTGGTCACAAATAAGCTGTATCTTGGCATCTTCTCTTGATCATGGGCAATGTGAAAATTGTGAAGGGAAAAAAATTCCTAGAATTTGTAGGAAAAAAGAGTTTTGTTCCTAGCAGAGAGGAAAAGCTTTTACTCTTGCCCACCAACATGGCTGCAGTGAAGTCTGCTGTCAACCAGTAATATAACTCAAGAATATACTCAGCGCGGTTTAATTCCCCAGGATTTTTTGTTTTGTTTTTTGTTGTGTGAATGGCACGGCTTTGTCACGTGATAATACAAACAAAGACTAAGACAAACCAATCAGCTTTAAGGTTGATTTCCACTGACGCGTTTTTGGCTACGCACGTTAACGCACGTAAATTTTAATCACGTGAATAAAATAAAGGCAAGATGAAATGAGCTTAAACGAGAAGTTGAGCGAGGTTCAACTTTGACGCTTGCGAGCGACCTTTCATGCATTGCCCCTATTTTATTTCCTAACGGTTATTTTACGCACGTACGCACGTAAAAATTACGCGGCACTGGAAATCCACCCTTAAGGAAGAAGCCATGAATGCGATAAATGTGCAAGAGCTTCTGGAACTCTTCTCAGTACACGCGGTCATCTTGAAACCAAAACAAGGCCATGCAAGTAGCGACCAATAACCCAAAGGCACCGAAATAGTTTTGCAAAATGGTAAACAAAGATTATTGTAGCATGAAAAATTGTCACAATTCAGCTTAGAGCAAAAGAGTCTCAGCCCAGGTTTCATTCTACAAAATTCCGAAACAGAACTGTCTTAGGACCATCTGGGATCGATTTATTAGGCGAGGTAAAATACATGGGCACAATTTCTTCTTCGACTTCATGTATAAATTCTTCTTGAGAGAACTTGTATCCATGGGTGAGTGTTGCCTTAATTGGCAAATTGTCTTTAGTAAATGTTTCTATAAACAATTGATCATATTTCGGGGCTTGAATTTAAAACTATTATGCCAAACACCTGAAGATGAAGCCATTGTTTAAACATGGACAAATATGAGGTCTTGTCGCGCGTTAGTTTGAACACCCCAAGCCTCCCTCCGTTGTGCAGTTTCTTACGTCACAATCCAAGATGGCCGAGACGCGATAAGGGCGAAAATGTTGGTTCGCTTTTGTGTTGTAGCGTTGGTATTGTTCAGTGTGTTTTCAATCTTTTGTATTACCTTATTTGGTCCCCAACACCAAGAAACTACCAGTTGGTTAGCATTAGATCCCATGGGCCTAACAAGCCTTGGACACCTTATGAAGTTTACACAACGAATTGACCTTATCGCTTATATAGGGTGGAAGCGATAAGGAATACTTTGTTGTGTAATCTTCATTAGGTGTCCGAGGGGTTTCAGGCTGATGGGATCTAATGCTAGCCATGCCAGTTTCCCCCACACATCATAACAATTGCGATGATGTACTCCCAAAATGCCCATAGTGCAACTCGGAACAACACCCATCCAACACATGCATAGGGAAAGCAGCGGGCAACACGTTCCGCTGTACTCCCCTTTCCAAGTTTGTACTAACCAGGGTTCCCCAGGGCATGATGTCTTGATATACTTACTTATTACTTACTTCCGGTCGACGCCTAAAGACGACGGGAAGAAAACTGACCCCATTAGGTTCGATCTTTGATACAACTTTGAAGATCTCTAAGGCCCGGTTCAGACGCCGATCTTTTCACGAGCCTAACCGTGTAATACATTGAATTAAGTACATGAAAAGTTCGACGTCTGGATCAATTATGAACGCCTAGCTATTTCAGTTTGGAACGGCTCAGTCGTTCTTCATGCCTAGGCCAGCTGGGAATTTCGACTGTGGAACGACTTTGGAACGGCTTTGATTCCGGCAGACGCCGAACTTTTCCTGTACCGAACCTACTGCATAAATTATAATGACGTATTTTGCAAGCAGTTTGACCAAAATATAAGCATTTTCCTCCTTTTGAATTTTGTTCGGCTGGAATTAAGATCGGCCTCTGAATCAATTCAGGCGGTCTAAATAGTTTGGGTTGGCCTTAATTCGAATTAGGTTCGGCTGATGAAAATTGCGGCGTCTGAACCGGGCCTAACGTGCGCGTTCTCTAGCCCTGTATCCCGCAGTAGTGTGTTGATACTAGTGTAAAGGAAGGACATCCTCTTTTTTGCCTCCAATTTGTAGGCACCCATGCTTTCAGCTGTTACGCTGGAGAGCTCTCATCACGAAAAACATTTCCAGAAAGAGCAGTTTTTTTATTTTGAATGGTAGAGGTCACCTTTTATAAACAACCATAAACCTTATTTTCAACCTTAACTTGTCCTTCCACGATATGTCTTTCACCATTCGATCTCTGCATTCTTGTATAAGTTCCATCCAGGCTCTTGATACAAAGACTTTTAATATTTTGAAAGGCGTCAAAATGAGCATTGCACTTTTGTTACATTTTACATTCAAGCCAATTAGAATCAGAATGCCCGAATTTATGTAAGATTTTTCAGTTTGGTAATCCAACAGTTCAATAAAGCCATGATGTAATTTACTAAAAATATACTTTACGTGTCCTACCTACTTTCAATTCTTGTCTCGCTGTTTCGCCGCCGCAAATTTCCCTTTCGTAAACTGTCGCTGCTATTTGACCTGTTATTGAGAGCGTTTCTATGAAAAAGGAAAAAAAAAATGTAACCCAAGGTTGAACCGGGTTCTTTCGTATCCTACTCGGTTCTCTCTCTCCCTTACCACTACACTTTTCTATCTCTCCGACCCCCAAAATTCCGACTAGCCTAGCAAACTAGCAGGTCGTGCAGGCTCAACTATACTTAGCAAGGAGTCAGGACTTGAGCCTGCCGCCCTAAAGCTTTAAATAGTGGTACGAGAACGAGGGGACAGGGGTAGGGCAGGGATTAATATTAAAAAGGGAGAGGGGTAGGTATTCGGGGGACAAATTTTTTTAATTTTCCTGCTTTCAATTAAACATTACACATAAAGAAGACAACGGTAAAGGAAACACTAAAGTACTCAGGTAGTACATGACAGGTTCACCAAGTATGAATCATGGATTAGTTTTGGCTCGATCCATTCTAAAAATTTCCAAGAGAAAAAGGGGATGAGAGCAGGAGCCGATAAGTGGCTCATGACGAGGGAAAATTTGACTTGCAGATTTCCTGAAACTCCGTTCGGGAATTAAAGGCAATTTTCATGTTGTTTTTTTAATTCAGCATTTCTTAAAAATTTTCGGATGCGTACACAACCAAAACCCCATTCAAACACTGTAAATTTAAGAATTGTAGTACTGTTACTGGGCCTGGGGTGGGTCACCTGGGGGTGGACCAACAGAATTTGACCTAGCTTGAGTGCAAACTTTTCGCTAGAATACTCGGGTGTGACGTAGACTGCGACTTTAATATATGAGTACACAGATTCCGTTGGACCAATCAGAAGCAGTGTTTGGATGGCACAGCTTTATCACGAGACAGGAGCCGATTAATAGGTTCCAGACACGTGATAATCCAAACAAAGAGTAAGTCGAACCAATCAGCTTTATGATTGATGGGAATAGCCTTGAATGCGACGTTCAAAAGTTTCTGTTTCTGAAGCTTTCTTCGCAACACAGCTTCGATTTCGCTCTGAAAGGAGGTGGTCTCAAAAACTGAGGTATTTTTTTGAGGTAAGTTGTATTATTTGTATAGGTAATAGCATGATTTGTAGCGATATTTGGCACAAATACCACGAGTGATATTTCGAAATTGTTATACGTAATTTCACGACCCGTTAGGCGAGTGAAATTTGAGACAGTTTTGAAATTTCACAAGTGGTATTTATGCCAAAATATATCACGTACAAATCATGCTCTTATTTATTTGTACTACTACCCGTAAAAGGTTTGTAATTTTCACATGTAGGTATTTCAAATTAAGCTGAAATACCACCGCTCTAAGCCAATCAAATTGCAGAAATTTCTCATGTAGTAGTATAAATACCAGAAATCTTATATTATACATAGATCCTTTTTCTTTTTCTCTCGGAGAGCTGCAAAGTCTAATTCGTTGGCATTGGCACTACTAATTCTCAGAATTCTTGCATGGTTGTTCTGCAGCACCCCTAGAGGCAGGTTCATGAAGGAAATCTTTTCCAAAAAGGAATATTTATCTTTTCTGTGCCTTCCGCTTACACATTTGTTTCTTGCTGTCATGCAAAAGGAAAAAGGAAAGCCGATAGCCCGAGGCTTCATTTGCAAATTTTGCTAGTATTATTTTGATCAGAATGCTCGTAAATATCAACGTCCATAACACTCTCTTTGGCATAGGTAAAGATCGAAGTTAAATAATCGTTGTCATTTCACCGCCGAATTTCCAGTTTTCTTGAGGCAAATGTATTCTCTGAGACCAGTTTGTTGGAGAATTCGCCTGGTTGCCCAAACGTTTGGATGCCGCTTTTGCAAAAAGTTTTGCAGCATCTGAAACCAAATTTTGTTTCGTTTAAACAAAAAAACACGTGGAGTTCTTTTTTCCGTCTACAGACATAAGAAATTTAACTTAGGTCTTTAATACGCCATTGTATAAGACTGCAGAAATAGTTCGAAGAGATGATGATAGGATTTTCGGTTTTTGTTCTTTTTTGGTCGGTTTTTTGCATTGGTAACTACTTTTTTTCAGTTGTTATGTTTTTTTGTGAGTGTTTGTTTGCAGGTTGATTTTCGTTTCAGTCTTGTAGTGCAGCCCAAGACTAGACAAAGAGGATGGACATTTTCTATGAAACCTGTGCCGAGACATCGCACAGGTTTTGAATTTATTCAATCAATTATGGATCCACTTACGTTCGAGAAAAATGTCTTAGTAGAATATTTTTTTTTCACTTTACGCTTATTTTGGATATGCCCAAAATAATAATAATAATAATAATAATAGTTATAAATATAATATAATATAATATAATATAATATAATATAATATAATATAATATAATATAATATATTATAAAATAACTGAGATAGTACGCGTGATCTGATTGGTCAAAAACCTATGGTTTATTATACCGGTAAACCCATAGAAAAAGGCATCCGGACCACGAGCCATAAACAAAACCGGCTATTGATCTGCAAACGATTTTAGAAAGGCTAAAAAACAGAACAAGTTACTTACCCATCCCTTCTTAATATTAAAAGCGTTGGTTTTCACATTTTATTACTGAGCGTCACAATTCGCTACTGCCATAGCTTTAGAAGTTATAAAGTACAAAGCTGGAAAACAGTTTACATTTCACGACGATGCCAAATCGCAGAGAAAGACAACAACTGTGTGAATTTCTGGTGTACAAAGTCTCTAGGAAAACTTAACAATGTGCCAACCAGCAACAAAACGGATAGTTTTAGCATTCTTGATTTATTTTATTTCAAAATTAAATTCCTTAATCAAAGAAATTGTTTCAAAAAGAGATCTCTGATCAAGATATGGTACAAAATCGGCCGCTGGAGGTTGTAAACAAGCTGCCAACGATGATGAAAGATGTCAGAGTTTCGGGCTAGTTTTTTCCAACATTTGCACAAATTATTCGATGATATCGATGCCATGACCTACCTCACACCACCTGACTTCACAAATCGACAAATATTAACGCCAATATGTGGCTACGGCAAAGAAACCTTTCTCCACCACTGACATATTTCCATCGGTCGCTGTACGTGCATATAAAGTTACATGCGACAACTTCGCAAATGCAGCCACGTCGTTACCGCAGCATTTCTTGATCATAATAAAGTCCAGGAAACAGATCTTAAACCACTGCGGCTTGTAAAAAGTGAATGAAGTCCTCCATTACAATAGCTGCCAGTTTCCTCTGTAAGCACGAAATTCTTACGGATCGACTCAACAAAATACAGCTGCGTACAGTCTGATGTTCAATCAATTTCTACTTCTGTAGTAAACAAACCATGAACGTATTCTTTCATTGTACGTTCGCATGAATATGTGTTGACTTTTCCTGTAAAACAGCTTTCATAAGTTATCATGTAATGAGTGCAAAAACTCGTGTTTTGAAGTGCTGCTGTTTGTTGTTTGACTGAACTGAGTTTTGAGAAAGTTTAGCGCTATTAAATCGTGAGTCGTGATTGGCTTATGATGACTTTAGAGAGAAGACATGACTTGATCACGGTACTAAAATCATATTTTTTACCTAAAAGACTCCATTTCATTAAAAGTTATTTTATAAAAGCAATAGACCACACTTTCTATGGGTTTACCGGCGTGATAACCCACTTGGGATGTTGGGAGAACACTCCAAAAGCTTGTAAATCACTCGCCTTCTGCTCGTGATTTACAAGCTTTTCTCGTGTTCTCCCAACATCCCGCGTGGGTTATCACGCCGGTAAACCCATAGAAAGTGTGGTCTATTGCTTAAATATAATATAATATAATATAATATAATATAATATAATATAATATAATATAATATAATATAATATAATATAATATAATAATACGTTTAATTTGGATATGCCCTGCTCACTCGTTACAGCACAATCATTCAAATGAGTTAAATTGCCCAAAAACTGACCTCTTTTTTCGCATTAAAAGTACTGAAATTACTACTGTAATTACGGGAGAGCTGTAGATTAGTGGTGGCGCCGCGAGTTGGGGGCTTTTTTCTCAGGCTATGATTTTTTTGAGCGGTTTTCGGTTTTCTGTAAACCCCAACGCCTTAGACACCTTTTTTTCATTAGAAAGGACTTGGACTTTTGGAATTAATACAAAAACAATCAAATAAAACAAAACAACGACAAACCTTTTCTCTGGTTACTTCGGTCCTGATCTTGCCCCGTCGTGTTTTTCCAACTGCTTTTTGCAGGATTTTCACCTCACAGGGGTTAATAGGAATTGAAGCCTTTTTATAACTGCGTCTGATTTTTTTTTCTGTGACAGCGACTTCGTCGTGATCAACGGGCAGCTTGTGGCTTATACTTTTACTTTTAATTATGGGATCAAGTTGTTCTATTCTGAACGATACCGAGTACGACGTCTGGATCACTGAAAGAATCAACTGGCAGGTTCTCGCAGTTTCCGTTGGTGCCACCGCCGCGTTGCTAAGTGGGGGAATTGCAGCTTTTCTCGCACTCGGCCCGATCGAAATAGGACTTGGAAGTGCGCTCAGTGGAATGGGTGGAGCAGCAATCACGACCAAATTTAAAGGGACTGCAGCAGCCGCTGTGCAATCCGGTTTAAATCCTTCTCGACTGACGGTGGTACGCAAATTCTTAGAGTCGCTATTGAAACGTCTGGCTAAGGCGTTTAATATTACAGAAAAGCAAGCTGAAGATCTTCAAAAGTACGTTCGAGAATTCCAAGCTGAAGCTATGCTAATCCGCCCTGGTGAGAAGTACACATGGTCAGGCACTCTATCTCTAACTAAGAGAGTGCATGTTATGAATGAAAAGCTTCAGTTTGATGACAAAGCCTGCTTTACAGGTCCTACAGATGGTTCTGAAAAAGTTTATCGAATATCAGAACACTTTACAAAATTGGATGTTAAAAAGTAATCAGAGAATGTAGAAACTGTAACCGTGCATTTGTAATATCGCGCCATGAAAAGGAATCCAAGACAGTATTGGATTCTGGATTCCACGCCGTAGATTCCGGATTCCAGGAACTAGACTCCAGTCTTTGTTTGTGGAATTTGGATTCTAATCTTCATTGGAATTCCGGATTCCAAAGTCCAGGATTCTGGATTCTACCTGCAAAATTTCCTTGGATTCCGGATTCCTCAAGTAAATATTTGCCGGATTCTGGAATCCGGATTCCGGAATCTGGATTCCCTTTCATGGAACAAGTAATGTACCGATCAGTCACTGTGAACACTGTTTAAAGTTCCTCTAAAAATTATTTATTGTTTTTTGTTGTTGTTGTAAAGAGTTTCTGTATTTTCTTAAAGATTAGTTTGCTGTGTCATTATTTGACCGTAACTTGACCTGTGAGTGAGGATATGCCCTTATTTAGAAATAAAGATTAACAGCAAAGTACAGGTGGGCGAGGGCAATGAGAATAGCTCTATTTTGGTTTGACTGCATTTCGAGTTAGATAGCACAAGGACTAGCACAAGGCTATTCTCGTCCCCAGAGCCCGTCGTTTCTCTTTGTCACGTGGCCTATGAATTGAGGCGTGTGGCTCTGGCCTTTGAGGGTACGCAAGTAACCCTGGGTCGGTGTTTCGTCGAATTGCACTATGGGACGGTTTTGGGGAACAGACATTAGAGACCTTTAGATTCGAGGACGATATTAAACGTAAAGTTTTTTCACGTATTCCCACAAAATATTCATCCCGGACGGCTCCAATGAACTTTTATGAACGGTTATTTTTAAGGACTGAGGTTAAGCCCTCTCCCGATCGCAAAATGATAGTTTCTTACATTAATAACTTTTCTCGCCATTACGATTGTCGCCTGCCTTCGTAGCTGGTGGTTTTTTAACCTTTTTTTTTTTTTTCGTTTGTGAGATACAGCCTCGCGCGCGGGTGTCCTCTGGGCAGGAAAACACACAAAAAACCACCAGCTACGCAAGCTAAATAGCAGGGAAAAGAGACCTCTGCTAGCAGGGAAATAGTAGGGTAAATAACGACGCGGACGGGGTGATTGTCTGATTTGCTACCACAAGACCCAAAACATCCTCGGAGACCCAGGGGCAGTCAATCGGGCCGGGAGAAAAGGCGCGACGAAAGTTTTCTGAAAACTCGCCTTGCCTACATGGCCTAGTCCCTAGGCCTCATTATTGCGAGCGGCCGATGCGTGTTGGGTTACGTGATCCGAGCGAGCCAAAAAAATTGAACTAAAATTATTCTGACTCCATTTCAACCTCCTTCCTAGAGGCCGCGATCCTTTTGGTCAGCGGCGGGACAAAGCAACGCGGACTCTGGGAACGAGATTGACTCCCCTTGAAAACCGAGAAGCCCCTGGGACTGAGGTTGGTAAAATCAAGCTGCGGACTCTTCACTCCCCAAGGGAAATACACGGGACTAGAGACTAGGGAATCCAAGTTTTAGCTACGTATATCCAGGGAAAAGTTCGACCAATTTGTCGACTCTCGATGGGTCCTTTCGTTTTGTCAAAGATTCATATGTATATAAGTGAAGACAAAAAGGAATCAAACAACACAACTCCCAGCGAGAATCCTTATTTTTATAGAAGTCTTTTGTTTCTCTTTTCCCGGCGTAGTCAATCGAACGAAACCGAACCAAAAATCAATCTAACTCAATCGAACCCAATCTGTCGGATTGTTAATTGTTCGATTGGTTTGGTAATCGAACGTACTGGAACTTTTCGGGGAGTTCCATTACCGAACTCAATCGAACCAATCGAACTCAATCGACGCTTTCAGTTCGATTTTGTTCGGCACAAAGACAAAAGGCATCCGGTTTCAATTGAATCGGAAATATCTCCCTCTACTACGTATGTGAAGCAGTTTGAAACCAAAAATATTTCAGTTAACCCAGAATTAACGAAAATCTTTGTTGTTAAAGTGTTTCAAAATGGATAAACTCACAATTAATACGGGGAAACATGAACGACACGGTAAAACAAGGTAAAATTTGTTTCCCGGAACAATACCAACCAGGGATAATCTTAGGATACCAGAAAAGTCAAACATCCTTCGATAAAGTTTCGAGTAAAAAAGGACACTGTAACTGGATTTGAACACACGCAACAGTGTAGAGCATATACAAAATAGTCATCCCTAGCGCTACCGGGGGTGTTACTAAACAGAGTAACGCAGTAACGAGTAACGAGTAACGAAGTAACGAGAAAACGAGTAACGGGATAAAAATCCAAGAGGTTAAAAAAATAAATATATAAATCCTAATGAAAGAAAAAACGTAAAAATGGTTGTAATAACCTAATAATGACCTTTACCAATCTCGAAAAATATGTGTATTCCAAAAAGTGCTTAAAACAACGACGTCAACACTAGAACAGTAAACAAGCTGGCTATGAATGCAGGCATTATAATAGTGTAGGGACCCCACCTGGGTAAGATATGGTTGAATTCTGCGTAGTAAGGTGATACGGCTGTAGAGTTTTTTACACAGGGTCTCGACGTGCCCTTCCCAGGAGAGGGTGTGGTCGAATGTTACTCCGAGTACTTTGGCCTCGGTAACCTGTTCTACCTTACTATCATTGACGGCTACATTAAGAGACTGAGATAATAAGGTATTAAGTTTTTGCGGGGATGAAACAAGCATAGATTTAGTTTTGGTGGCATTTAGGGCCATGCGATTAATATTTGCCCAGGCCGACACTTCCGCCGCAAACTGATTTAGGTTGCATTCTACTAACTGTACGGAAGAGCCAGTAGTAAGGATCGTTGTATCGTCGGCAAACATTGTAAGACTTACATTAGAGACAGAAGACAGGTAGAAGGGCAGATCATTGATAAATATAGAAAAAATAGAGGCCCGAGGATACTCCCCTGAGGGACCCCCACGGACATAGGTAGCGGATCAGACATAGAACCCTTAAAAGTAGTTTTCTGTGAGCGGTTGGTCAGGTAGGAGCAAAACCACTTGAGAGAAGACTCAGAGCAACCATACAGCTTAAGTTTGGAGAGTAAGGTAGTATGGTCTACTAAGTCAAAGGCCTTTTTTAGATCAATTAAAAGTAGACCACTTAGAAGGCCCTGATCTATGTTTGCAAGTAAGGTATCAGTAAGGTTAACTAGAGCAAGCTCGCAAGAACGAAAACATCTAAAGCCAAACTGAGAATCAGTGAGAAGGTCATGACAAGTAAGAAAATCATAGAGATTTGAGTGGACGTGGCGTTCAAGAATCTTTGAAACAATAGCAAGGACAGAAATTGGGCGAAAATTTGAGCGGTCCAGAAGGGAGCCCTCCTTGAACAATGGCGTAACCTTGGCAACTTTCCAAGCATCCGGGAACACGCCAGAGGAGATGCTGAGGTTAAAAACAGTTGTCAGAAGCCGCCGTGTAATGTTCTTTTTATTATATAGACAGAAAGACATCGATAAAATAATAGATTTTTATTCGCCAAAAAGTAATTGTGACGGTTCAAATTTACATTTACAGCAATATAAGACATTCTTTACAGTAATCTTGAGAAACAACACTGAGCTTTTTGGAGGAAAATTACCGAAATTACGTCATCGATAAACTCACGTGAGAGATTATGGAAAATAAACCACTCGGGTCCCGGATGTGGTTTTTATGAATTTTACGAGTGGTATATTTTCCAGTAAAACACTCGTGTCTATATAATAATCTATTGTCTTCCGTCTATCGTCTGGGTTTTGGTACAATTATCAATTTCAGTTTTCAACGATTGGCGTAGGACACGATTTGAATGAGCTGCCCAATTCGCCATTTATTATCCTCAGTGATAATACAAATTACACAACTTTTTAGCATGTTATAATTGTCATGAAAAATGGCACCGACATGATCATTTTTAAAAGCAGCAAGAACGACAATGTCAAGGAGAAAACTATTAATTTTTCGTTTAAATATAACAGTGAACCTTGTTAACATTTTGAAATTTGAAAACAACAACTTTATTATAATAATATACCGTCGTTAGTTGGACATTTTACACGTGCTTGTTCAGTTTCAATGAAAACAGTTGAACCATATACTTCTTGCAACATTGACTTCTGAAACCAAATCATCCACTGTTCTTAGAAAGACTGATACCATTTTAATTCTCCGAAATCGATATTGATTTTTTTTTCAGTATTTCCCACTCGTGTATCGTATTTGATAACCTTGCGCTTTCCTTACGGCTCTATGCGAAACTGAAACCCTGCCCCCCATACTTTATCGCTATGTCAAAATATTTACAAAACTCTTCAAAGGTATGGTGTTTAGTAGGAATAGTCATGCTTAAGACGCACGTATCTGCTATAGGCAATTCGATATTGTCATCGAATTTAATCAGCATCTCCGTGATTCCTGATGGTAATGTGTTGGTTCCCGTCCAAAAGCTACAGAGATCTACAAGGTTAGCGCCGTCTGAAAAAAGAAAAAAGCTATTCTTGTTTTTCAATTCAACATGACAAAAATTGTACGTATTATTAGATTTAAAATAATGGGTTCGTAATGGTAAAAAAAAAAGATAGCCTTGGTGTATTAACCTCGATATATCAAGGCCTCAGTCTCATAATTCCCTGTAGTGACCTCACCCTCGGTTAACAGTAATATGTCGTTCATTATAATTTTTGTGATTTCAGTTATGACCGTAACTTACCGTCCTCTTTCCGTGATTCCATCAATTCGATGTAGTTAACGAAGTAATCAGCCGTCTTTGCATTCGCCTCTCTTTCCTCGAACGCCACCTTCCTCTTAAACTCTTCAGCCCGAATGCTTCGTTTGCTGTCTTCCGGAAAGATGGCATCTGCCAAAACCGGCCATTTCTTCAGGGCACTTCCAAGGCCAAACTCCTCCATCCCTAGAAAATGAAAAGAAATACAAACGACCGTTGCTAGGTGTTTAAAAATTTACCAATATCTGATCAAAAATTTTTCCGATGTCCTACCTTTGACGATATCATCGAGTTCAGACTTGCGCTTAAGGAGGACATTAAATAGGATGAGACCCTGGGTTATTAACCCGGGGTCTGAGATGAGTTTATCGATGTCGAGGCCAGCCTCCAAAAGGTATGGTCCTACACTCGCCCTCAGCTCAGCGGAAGGACGGTCATCTTTGCCAAGGGAATCAATCTGTAAAGGAGAATTTTTTTTTCTGAGGGGGTAAATTAACGCGGTCACTGTTGAACATTAACAGATTCATTACTGTATAAACAACTCTCTCTCTCTTTTTCTGATTTAAAGTTATCTCTAATCGCTAGTACCTTTGTCCTAAGTGAGAGTGAGAAAAGGAGATTGAATACGAAGGTTAATGCAACTGTTTAAGGGAATGCCATTATTGATGTAATTTACCAGGAGCCCATTATGGGCTTCCTTAATTACTGATTAGCCTTAACTTTACAACGGTACGATGTAGTCAGAAAAGTAACAACTGGATAGCTATCGGTTGCAACTCACCTCAGTAATTAGTTGTCTCAGATCAATGTCGGGAATGTCATGAACTGATAATGGCGGCGGAGTTTCAAACAGATCTACGGTAGGACTAGACAAGTAGTATTTTACAGCTGGAGAAAGGCCATGTAAGGCGGGACCACCGTGTAAAGCGCAGTGGCCTATAATCCGACCAATTGCCTTGAATGATCCTGCCAATCTTAAAGATTGATCGTGAACTGGCAACCTGTGATCCTTTTCACCTTCAAAAAAACTAACAGGTTTGGATGAGGTCGCCATCCCTTCATCCGCTATCTTCATGGCAATGGAGAGAAACTCCCGGACAGGTCCACTTCCGGCACCCTCCTCATGCTCAAATCTAACCCTGGGGTGAGCCTTTAAATTAGCAGTTTTTGATTTGTAGTAGACAAAAACATCAAGTTTTAGCTCCTCGATGCCTTCCATTCGTGAAACTTTAAAGAGCTTACGTGGTTTGGACGTTTCTATAATCTCGTCCCTGAACCGTCGCAGAGCGTCTATAGCTTCTACTGGTTGGGGTGCATTGTTGCTTGTGTCAAGCATTTGTACTAGATCGCCATCATCGTCATCTTCTTCCTGCTGTACACCTGAAATATATTCGAATGACAAGTTAACAATATGAGAAAAGCATAATACTCGTGGTGGCCGGTGTAGCTTGAGATGACAATATTAACCTTTTATTGAAAGCTCTATTAATATAAGCTCCGAGCCCCGATTCTGTAACAGTTAACACGCCTCCCTAATAATGGCCCATCACCCTGAAAGAACATGTCATTTTATAATATAAGCCAATCTTTATTTAAGTATCAGAACAATAAGTAATATTTTACAATTTTAAATTATATCGTATTGTTTGCAAATTAAAAACTAAATATATGACAACAATGCTAACTATTTTAATAGTTAGCATTGTAAATAGGATTTTAAAAAATCCTATTTACAATTAAGTCGCTTGAAAAAAAGAAAAGAAAAAAGCTATTCATTCAAAACACTATTGACAATTCCTAATTAGTCCTTATTACGAAATCCCGGTCACATTCCGTGGCCTAGTTGGTTTGTCATCAAACAGGTCAATTTCTCTTGCATTTTTTGACATTTTACAGTTTAATTGCAAATACTCCAGTTTTGTTTCGTTTCTTTTTTTTTTTAAAGGCTTTCGAGATAAAATCGTTTCTTGAAGATTCGAAATAACGCCCTTCTCTCATCGTTTAACCGTTAAAAGCGGCCTAACTATGAAATAAACTTGAGACTTTATTAAAACTCTTACAGGAGTTACCAAGAGGGGCTTGCGCTGCCTGGTTAGCATCGCCTCCAGATGCCGACAGTGCAGCCTCTATTTCAACTGAGGTAGCATCAGGGCAAATTTCTTCCGGGAGTGAAGAAGCCATGGTCGTATTTTCTGAGGACCTGCATTGAAAGCAGAAGGAACATAACAATTCTCTAGTTCTGCATGCTCCAAACTTTACGAAAACGTTTTCAGTTTGATATAATTATATTATTTTTTGTTATTATTTTCAGTCACTTATCACGTTAC